TAAAATGGGCATAACTTTTTGTACAGAGCTCCATTTGGACTCCACAATATATCGTTGGAAAGCTCTTTCAAAGGCCTACAACTTTCATGCTTTGTGTTTTCCCAAATTCCTTACACATGTTCATTAAACCCTGCTGGAAGACGGACCTTCTGCAAACTTAGTCTATTTTGTCAAATCTTATGCACCTCACTCTCCGTCTTGATTCCAAAACAACTATTTTCACCCATAATCATCCCGATGAGACTTCACATGTACTAAAATATCAAATTAATACCCATTTAATATATCCACACCTAGTCCGAATGTACGAGATGTTACAATATTATCCGTCCTAAACAAGGATTACTTAGAATTTATATACAATCCATCATTAATTAGTGCTTTAAATTAGAGAATTTAGTTATATCATTTTCCTGTTTTATCTCCACTCCTCTTTCAATAATAAGGACAACGGCTCCTCTTTCAACACTAAGGTAGAATGTTGATATTTCTTTAACTTTGACGATATGTTAGGATATAAAAATGAATTGTGTTATTATGTTTGGGCTGTGAGAAAATCTTTTGACGTTTATAATAATTGGTCATCAACTAATAATTCTTCTTTTTTCAGAGAGATTTACCAATTCAAATAGTCCATCCGACTTTGAATTTACTCGTAAAATCCAAGCAGTTTTCAAATGTCAGCATCGTTGGATGAATAACTCGACGAAAGATGATAACATCAAGGCGAATACACTTTGATTTTGATAAATACATTACCGAAAAGTTGATCACATCAAAATGAAACACTTTGATTTGATAAATGCATCACTGGATAAACTTTTGAGTTTGATAAATACAGTGCTTTAAATGGATGAACAAATTACCTTTTGGGCCTCGGATAACCATTGCATCTTTAATCTAATCGACTCTATATATAACTTAGTGGTTCATTAGATCATCTAATGCTTTTATATCCCCGTAACCTAATACTCCAGTAGGTTTCAAGGTTTCAATACACAACTTAATTGATGCAACGTGTTTCTATGGAAATTTAATGGTGTTATTATATTTCTTCTCATCCCCTATCTATGAATGGTTTCTTTTTCCAAAAATAAAAAAATAAAAATAAAAAAATACAAAACCCTGCTCATCCAACAAACTGACTGCTCTTCCATTTTTATCTTTAGCTTTAACTAGGTATCTGTTTTGCTTTTGGCAAAGAGCATTTAGTTGAAATAAATCCATTGCTTTGCTTCACCTCGTTTCCGATTCCATCACAGCAGAGAGGTTGTCAATTTCCTCAACATACAAATTAAAAATAAATTTCGTACAAATTTAATGTAAATTTAAATATCTACAACAGCATACATACTAAAAACAAATTTCATACAACTAAATATATAGTATTCAACTTATTTACAACTTATCTACAACTTTCATATATCCTTTCTACCTAGTTAAAATACAAGTACGACATCATACAACTTAAATACAATTTTTATAAATTTTATGCAACATGTCTTTTGTATGTATTTTGTATATGACATGTATATATTTTGTAAAAAGTGTGTTCTTCTTCCTCTCTAAAATTCCAATCAAAACTTCATCTCTTAATACAATTTTGATACATATCAATAACTTTATGTAAATAGATAATATATATATATATATATATATATATATATATATATATATATACTACAACAGAATACAATTTACATACAGTTATACTACAGTTTTACTACAATCTCATAAGTATATTGTATGTGTTACGAGTTTCAATCTGAAATTCAGCCAAAATCAAGTCTAATTTTCACCAAAACACCTTCCAAATTAAGATATAAACTCCAAATAATATTCTCAATTGTTTGCAACAACACCCAATCCAAACAAATAATATTTTTTGATAACCCAAATTCGATTTCAAAGGTTCAAAGCTTTTTAATAGCTATCAATGGTGGAGAGTCAAACACCTTCAAAATTTATTGGTTGACAATTTCAATATGAACATGAATTGTGCAACATGAAAGGAAATTGCTAAGTTAAAACAATTGAAATCCATTGATGAACTCCATTAAAACTCTATACAACAAGAAAAACATAAATAAACAGAGAACATCAAATGAAGAAAAATTGGGAAAAAACAGGGAAGGAGAGTAGAGAGACGAATAGAGAAGGAGAGAAAGAGAGAGAGAGAGAGACAGAGAGAGAGTGGGCAACTATAAAAGGATAAGGAAATAACTGATATTCATTATTCACTTCCTAATGTAAAGGGATACTCATTTAAAACTTATCTGTATATAATTGGTAAATTGTATATGACCATGTAATTAAATTAACACTTGAATGAGGATGGTAATAAGGTTTCAAATAGTGTATAGGAAGGTAAAAAACTCTTTAATATAGAATAGATAAAAAATAATATTTCTACCCTATTTATGCAGCACGATAAAATAAAGAAGAGACATAACTCACACAAAACGATGGGAGAAATTCAAAAATAGCCAGATTTACAAGTGGTCATTCAAAAATAGCCACAGTTATAAAAGTAATCGAAATTTAGCCACTTTTTATTTAAAGATAAATCTGAACGAAAACACTGTTCAAAATCCGAAAAAATACTCCAATATAATATACTGGAGTTTTGAGCACCGGTGCTGAAATCTCTAGTATATTATACTGGAACTTTCCACGTGTTGGAGTTCCAGCATAATATGCTGGAAGTTAATACACAAGTGCACCGATCTCCAGTATATTATGCTGGAACTTTCCGTGTTTCAGCAAAATAGTGACTATTTTTTAATGACTTTGCAAATGCCGGCTATTTTTGAATGACCAGTCCAAAAACTGGCTAGCCCGTGCTATTTTTACAAAAACCATCGGTAGAGCTAGAAGAGTAAGGCCCAATGGCCCATGGCTCTTACATCTTGAGAGAAATATAAAGTTTAGTTTACAAACCTTCATCCCTCTTTCCCAGCAAGCAGCAACCTGCACTCAGCTCTTATTCCCATGATAGAATTCACTCTTTAGCTAAACAATGTAAATTTTAGTTTATAGTAATCTTTAATCATTGAGATTCAGCACAATTAAGTCAAATTAAGATACATTAATATAATTTACACGAATCAAGCTTTATTACCCCCTTGAATTAAGGTTACTGACCCATTCTTCTGAAAATTGCTTTCTTCCAACTTTGTCGGTCTTTGGGGTTTGTGTAATATTGGAAACAATCCCTAAATGTGCCCTTAAAAAATTGTAACTACACCTTTAAATTTTATTACTAGTTATTTTTTACTTGAAGAAGCAGATTTTATTTGCCAGCTCTTTTTTTTAAGCTAATCTTACTCTGTTAATTAGAATAAGCAAGTTGGGATGCTCCATTTAGTTTCTTGCTCATTTAACTGTAATTGTATATAATTAATTTAAGGCATTAATAATAAATTCGACCACTCCTCTCACGTTGGGGTGAGTAAGCAACTTGAATAATGTCATAAGAAATTTACGTGACAGAGAAAATACTTCCAATTTTCAATAATGACAAAACACCACGACAGTGAGCTTACAAGTTACAGGCATGAGGTTAAAAAGGTTAAGATGAAAGATCCAATCAATGTTGAGGAAATTGTTAATAGAGAAATTCCATATGTGCTTTCTATTTTTTGCGACAGGATACTTTTTGGTGAATTCTTAAAATTAGATTGCATTAATTTTGATAAAAATTTAATGCTTTTATTTACTTTACGGATTATTAACAATATGACTAAAGTATTTATTTTGAGCGGACGCATGACTTTATCTCTTTGAGGAGAGATGAACTCTTCTTGACATAAACAAGTTGATATAGTAAAATTATCATGTTATGTATTATTCTATAAAGTAATAGTGTACTTGAAAAATTGGAGGGAGGGAATAGAATTGTTGCTCTTAAACACGAAGTTAATGAGATAATAAGCAGAACCTTGAACAAAGACATACTTGGCATACTAAGATGGTAAAATATCGCTGCATTTATTATTTCTCTGTGGCAATGGGTAATCCCAGCAAACAGCACCTCTCAGCTCTTCTTCCTAAAATTGAATTAACTATGATTTAGTTTCAAAACGTAAAGCTTATACATGGAATTATTGAGATCCACAACAGTAAAGTCAAATGATTACTTTAAGTAGAACAATGTTTTATTAGGCCCATAATTTAAGGTTATATTGCCCCATTCACCTAAGTGATGTTTATTCTTTTGTTAACAAGGAGAAACAGAGTCCAGATTGTCAAATTGAAGAAGTTTTTTAATACGGCCATTCAAAAGAAGCAATATTGCAATATTATTTTTTTATTTTCTGGCAGCAAAAGCAGTTCGTTGGCAGCATGGATACCCTCTCACTTTCATTAAATTGCATGCTTATACGTACTTGCTGGTCTTTCTAGATATGTGTGCTATTGGAGTCAATCCCTAAATTACTCACTTTGAAATTTTAAACATTGAGTAGAGCATTCGTCATCTTTCTTAAATATTTACTAGTACTCCTAGAAGAAAAATACTAATATATTTTGGTCTTCTTTTTTCGCTCAAGTTAGTTTCACTTGTAGAAGTGAGATGTGGGTTTTGGTATGATTAATTAGTTTTGGGGAGATTATTTTCTCAGAAGAAAAAACTATTATCTGTTTGTTTTACGTTTTAGGAAAATGTATTTGGACAACAATTGTAGTACTCATTAGTCTTTCCAGATCTACAACTGCATTGTTTTTGGTTTCTAAAACCCATTTTGGATTGATTTTTCGAAGAGTAATCCATCTTCCAAACTTGATGATTCCCAACTTTTGAAATGTATTTCTAGCACAAACGGGAAAATATCTCAAAAATGATATTTTGAAATAAAATCATTTTTTTCCTATATATACCTCAGCCTTATTTCGTCTCTCGAGGTTAAAAGATAAGAGTAATAAAAAAATTAAAAATGAGCAAGATTCTCATTTCCATTTCTGCCCTTAGGTAACAAAACCGCGTATAATTAATAAAACCTTGTGTTTCCTAAAGGATCCAGCTGAGAAGCCTATCTTTTCTCACTTCTCAATTGTTGCTCCTCTAAGAAGAGCTTCATTCAAAAAAACAATGGAGAAAATTGCCTCTTCAATGGCTGATCTTTTCTTATTTGCAGCACTAATGGCTACCTTTTTTTCATCCTCACATGCTCAACTTATCAAAGGTTCATTTGAAAACACCTTCACTAAAAGCTGTCCTGGTACACATTTCAAGACTTCTCAAGATGGACAGATCTGGTATCTCACCTTAGACCAAGTATCAGGTAATTAAAAAAAAAAACCAAGAATTCTAATGCATTTCATTTCTTACATTCTTTTTTCTTTTCTTAACATTTGAATATTCATGTTTTTGGTATATAGATTGTGGGTTTATTACTAAGCAGAGCTATAGATTTGGTTGGTTTAGCACAAAGTTGAAATTAGTAGGAGGTGACTCTGCTGGTGTTGTGACAGCTTTTTATGTAAGTTCACAAAATCTTTAGCATGAAATGACAAATCAATACATACAAATGGGTGTAATGTAATGGGGATTTTAATTTACATTGGGTGCAGATGTGCTCGGAAGTAGAGGCAGGGCCATTGAGAGATGAGATAGATTTTGAGTTCTTGGGAAACAGAACAGGACAACCTTATCTTATTCAAACCAATGTGTACAATAATGGCAGTGGTGGACGTGAGATGAGGCATCTTCTCTGGTTTGATCCTACTCAGGACTTTCATACCTATTCCATTCTTTGGAACTCTCATCAAATTGTGTAAGTCCCTTTTTCATTTCTAGTTTTTTTTTTTTTTTTTCTCCTTATTTAACATGGTAATGCTCTTAAGATGGTGGGATATTATTTGTCTTGAGCCAACCCCGCACGGTCTCGCACCATTAAGAGATCCCTATACCTTATATGTAGACTCCCAATCTTTTCAGCTACCAATGTGGAACTTTGTTTGTAAAACCAACACTTCAAAAACCACTAGTTCGACTAATTTGGATTTAGGGGCATAGATCCATTAAGACTGGAGTATCTTAATTCTCATGACATCCCTCGGCGGTATATTTTGTTTCACTAATCACATAACAATTCTATGGTAACAATTTTTTTGGAAAATGCTTACTTTAGAACAAATTGATTGATGAGAGAACTATCATTTAAAATTACAATTAACATCAAGAATCTCATGAAAATGGATTTGAATATAACTTGATGGATCTAGAAGATTCAAATAATTGAGCGTAACTGGTTTGAGATTAAGGAGTAGAACTATAGTTGATGATTTGATAAAAAAATTCTTGTAAATGCAGGTTTTTTGTTGATAACGTTCCAATAAGGGTATACAAGAACGCGAATCACACGAACAATTTTTTCCCAGCTGAGAGGCCAATGTACGTGTTTTCTAGCATATGGAATGCAGATAATTGGGCTACTAGAGGAGGGTTGGACAAGATAAACTGGACAAGTGCACCATTTGTAGCAAGTTATAAGGATTTTACTTTAGATGCTTGTCAATGGAAAGATCCTTTTCCTGCTTGTGTTTCCACCACTACACAGCACTGGTGGGATCAGTATAATGCTTGGCACCTATCAAGTAAACAGAAGATTGATTATGCTTGGGTGCAGAGAAACTTTGTAGTTTATGATTATTGCCAGGATAGTGTAAGAAACCGTTATAAGCCTCAAGAGTGTTGGTTAAGTCCATTGGACTAATATTAAAGATAGATAAGATTCTTTTGAGAGAGGAAAATTATTGTATTGTAATCTTGATTTTGAGTGTATATATTGGACTCTCTCCTACTAATATGGGATTGAGCCATAATAGATCGATTGATCAATCAATATTGATATATTGTACTTCATCTATTCAAAAAAAGAATGACAGTACTACTCTTGGAAAGCGAAGGAGTTTTTTGCTATATTCAGAAATGTTTTAATATACAAGGAACTACGCAAAATAACATAGCGTAATTTTTTGAAAGAGTCTATACAGTTGCATAAGAGCATTACCATGTTATATATAACAAATTAGATGCGTTGAGATTCCTACTTTGGATCATGCCATTTTTATAAAGAAGGATAAAGTATTTTGCCAGAAGATCCAAGATGTACTTGTACAGGGGGGAACATGCTAGAGATAGG